CTCTCTCTCTCTCTCTCTCCTCTCTCTTTCTTTCTTCTCTTCCTCTCTCCGCTCTCGCCCTCACTCGCTTCTGTCCTGTTCTGGCTGCGTTTCCACACCACCCAGGAGGTAGCAGCCTCGGCGCCTTGCGACTTTTTTTAAGGAGGTGTCCATCCCCAGTAGGGATACCCTTCCTCCGGAGACACACGAACAAAAGCAAGTATTAGGAAAGAAGACCATTGTGAAACGAAACTGTCTGGAATGTGAAATTTTCTGAAATTTCAAACAACAACAACACGATCAAAACACGGCGGTATATAAAAGTAACTCTTGTCAAACGAATCTATCTTGCAAGTGAAATCTTCTCTACCTCAAAGTATGACAGAAATCCACGCTCAACAATCGAGGACGACAGAAGGCTCACGACACGAATGATTGTGTCAAGTTAACGTATCCATCGATGTAAAATCGATTGTAACTCCAAAGTAATATGAAAAAGAGGTTAAAGAGGACGTACTTCCACATACAAAGTTCTCGATATACACGTACATACATACACACACATATACATATATGTATATGTCCACCTCTAAGTACCGAGACTTTTTTCATACCCGCCACGCCCATGTCCTGTTCACTCCTCGCGCCGACCTAAGTTGCGATTGCTTGCACGTTAGCTCCGAGTAAATCTAAACTCGGTGCCCGACGCTTCAGGGCGGGCGGTCGCATGTGCATGTACATCAGGCGCCGCGGGATCCACCGTTTTGTCAGCAAGGTCCTGGTCGAGCAGGGGTAGAGACCGTACTCGTCCTGATACCAAGGCCCCGGCACGTCGAACCCGTTCGAGTCGGCATAACGCTCCAATGTCCTGTCAGCCGCAGTTGCGAAAGGAAAGATACCAACCTAAGCGACCGGGCCTGAGACGGTACTCTACCGTCATATGGAACGCGTGCACGAACAGGTCACTGCTGGTGGTGGGCCAGTCGTCCAGCGCCTCCAGGGCCTCCAACAACTACATACGTTCTCGTTCAATGCCGTTCTAATCCTTGCCTTGGTGTACGCCGCGTGGATTAAGTCGCCTGGTGACGGGACGATGGGCAAAGCAAGGAAAAGGACCTGACCCCTATCAAGCCAATCGCGCCTTCAGCCACCTTTGCCAGCATCACCTTCTCGCGAGCGTGCACCTGCCACTGAAGTCTTGCAGAAATCATCTCACTAGCTCTCCTCAGCCTCGTCCGCGACCTTCCAAGTCCACCACTTTGGGAACCTCAGTGGGAATAAAGAAAGCTCCTGCAGAAGAACTGCTGCTTACTATCCAAGACGGCCACTGGAACGGGGGGATCTCGAACTCAACCGGCGCGACAGGCGGAAGGAGGGCGTAGATTGGGCCTCAACAGGGGCGCGAGTAAGGTTTACGAGCAGTGGAGCCCTCTGGGTTCGTGACCGGGCAGGGCGGCCATCTTGGACCTGAAACGATAGCACAGACAGCTAGTCCTACACAATCGTGCTCCGAGGATGCCACCCACACAAAAAAGAAGCAGGACGACGGGAACGATGCTGTTCGAGCTTCGCGGCCAGAAAATGGCAAACTAGTCGAGGGACTCAAAGCAAAAAACCCGTGAACTTGACTGGTTAAACCTTCTACCACCGTTTTCGGCTTCTCTCGTACCACTGGCTTCGCTACCTGACTTCTCAGCTTAAGTTCTCAGCAGCCTGTCCCTACACAGAAAGCCACGGCTCCACACATCGACGACATGATGATAGCGATGATCGAGAACATCCTCAGGGCGATGATAATGATGATGATGATATCGACGGGTGCTTGCGTGTAGGCATCATTCTTGCGATGTGGAGTTCGGCTTCCGTTGTGGGGTCGTAGTTATTCTTGTGTCTGGCTGCACTTCCAAACCGTCCAGGAGGTGGCAGCCTTGGCGCCTTGCAACTTTTTGTTACAGAGGCTCGCTCCTGTCTCTCGTGTTCGTTTTCTCTCGTATTTTTCTCTCTCCTCCTCTCTTGCTTCCCTCCTCCTTCTCGTCCTTCCTGTCTCTCTCCTCTCTCTCTCTCTCTTCTTCTCGTCCCTTTCTCTCTCTCTTTCACTCTATCCGCTACCGCACTCGCGCTCTCTCTCTCTCTCTCTGTTTCTTCTCCTCCTTCCTCCTCTCTCTCTTTCGCTCACTCCTGTCGCCCTCTCTCTCCATCCCTCTTTCTCTCTCTTTCGCTCTCTCTCTCTCTCTCTCTCTCTTTTTTCGCTATCTCTCTCTCTCTCTACCCATTCTCCTCCCTCTCTCTCTCTCTTGTCCTCGCTCTCTCTCTCTCTCTCTCATTCTCTTTGTCTCCCTAGCTCTTCTCTCTTGTTCTCGCTCTCTCTCTCTCTCTCTCTCTCTCTCTCTCGTTCTCTCTGTCTCCCTAGCTCACTCTCTCTCTCTCTCTTTCTGCCCCTCCTCTCTGCTCTCTTTCCCTCGCTCGCTCCTGTCCCCACTGTCCCTGGTTGCGTGTCCACACCACCTAGGAGGTAGCAGCCTCGGCGCCTTGCGACTTTTTTTTTTTTTTTAAGGAGGCTCGCTCCTGTCTCTTGTTTTTTCTTTTCTCGTACTTTTCTCTCTACTCCTCTTCCTTCCTTCTCTCCTCCGCCTCCTCCTTTCTGGCTCTCTCCTCTCTCTCTTTCTCTCTCTCTCTCTCTCTCTCTCTCTCTCTCTCTCTTTCTCTTTCCCTCTCTCTCTCTCTCCCTCCTTCTCTCCATCCCCTCTCTCTCTCTCTCTCTCTCTCTCTCTCCCTCTCTGTTTCTGCTCCTCCTCCCTCCTCTCTCTCCTTCGCTCACTCCTGTCGCCTTCTTTCTCCATCCCGCTTTCTCTCTCTTTCGCTCTCTCTCTCTTTTCTTTCTCTCGTTCTCCCTCGACCCCCTCTCTTCTCTCTCTCTCTCTCTCTCTCTCTTCCTTGCTCTCTCTCTCTCTCTCTTTCTCTCTCTCGTTCTCTCTCTCTCTCCCCAGCTCGCTCTCCTCTCTCTCTTTCTTCCCCTCTTCTCTCCTGTCTCTCCCTCTCTCGCCCATGTCCCCATTGTCTCTGGCTGCGTTTCCACACCACCCAAAAACTAGCAGCCTCGGCGCCTTGCGACTTTTTTTTAGGAGGTGTCCATCCCCAGTAGGGATACCCTTCCTCCGGAAACACGCGCACTTCGAACAGTTGAAGCTGCGGTCACGCCATCGCTTGACGATAGCAAGCTCAGCTGTCAAGTTTCTTTGCGATGACCTTCCAGCTCAAACCCTTCATCAAGAAGGCTGCCTTGAGACGGATGACCCATAGTCTTCCAAAGGCAAAAATCCCAGGACAGTTATCTGACACGGATGACCCATAGTCTTCCCCAGACAAAAATCCCAGGACAGTTATCTGAGACGGATGACCCATAGTCTTCCCAAGGCAAAAATCCCAGGACAGTTATCTGAGACGGATGACCCATAGTCTTCCCAAGGCAAAAATCCCAGGACAGTTATCTGAGACGAATGACCCATAGTCCTTGCCCAAGGCCAAAATCCCAGGACAGTTATCTAGAACTGATGACCCATGGTCTTCCAAGGCAAAAATCCCAGGACAGTTGTCTGGAGACGGATGCCCATAGCCTTCCCAGGCAAAATCCCAGACAGTTCTCTGAGACTGGAAATGCCCATAGTCTTCCTAACAAGGCAAAAATCCCAGGACAATTATCTGAGACGTATGACCCATAGTCTTCCCAAGACAAAAATCCCAGGACAGTTATCTGAGACGGATGACCCATAGTCTTCCCAAGACAAAAATCCCAGGACAGTTATCTGAGACGGATGACCCATAGTCTTCGCAACCCAAAAATCCCAGGACAGTTATCTGAGACGAATGACCCATAGTCTTCCCAAAACAAAAATCCAGGACAGTTATCTGAGACGGATGACCCATAGTCTTTCCAAAACAAAATCCCAGGACAGTTATCTGAGACAGATGACCCATAGTCTTCCCAAGACAAAAATCCTAGGACAGTTATCTGAGACGGATGACCCATAGTCTTCCCAAAACAAAAATCCCAGGACAGTTATTTGAGACGGATGACCCATAGTCTTCCCCAAAACAAAAATCCCAGGACAGTTATCTGAGACAGATGACCCATAGTCCTCCCAAGCCAAAAAATCCCAGGACAGTTATCTGAGACGAATGACCCATAGTCTTCCCAAAACAAAAATCCCAGGACAGTTATCTGAGACGGGGTTGAATCCATGGTTCTTCCAGCAAAAAATCCAGGACAGTTATCTGAGACGGATGAACCATAGTCTTTCCAAAACAAAAATCCCAGGACAGTTATCTGAGACAGATGACCCATAGTCTTCCCAAGACAAAAATCCTAGGACAGTTATCTGAGACGGATGACCCATAGTCTTCCCAAAACAAAAATCCCAGCACAGTTATTTGAGACGGATGACCCATAGTCTTCCCAAAAACAAAATCCCAGGACAGTTATCTGAGACAGATGACCCATAGTCTTCCCAAGCCAAAAAATCCCAGGACAGTTATCTGAGACGAATGACCCATAGTCTTCCCAAAATAAAAAATCCCAGGACAGTTATCTGAGACGGATGACCCATAGTCTTCGCAAGCCAAAAATCCCAGGACAGTTATCTGAGACGAATGACCCATAGTCTTCCAAAAACAAAAATCCAGGACAGTTATCTGAGACGGATGACCCATAGTCTTTCCAAAACAAAAATCCCAGGACAGTTATCTGAGACAGATGACCCATAGTCTTCCCAAGACAAAAATCCTAGGACAGTTAGCTGAGACGGATGACCCATGGTCTTCCCAAGGCAAAAATCCCAGGACAGTTATCTGAGACGAATGACCCATAGTCTTCCCAAGGCAAAATCCCAGGACAGTTATCTGAGACGGATGACCCATAGTCTTCCCAAGGCAAAAATCCCAGGACAGTTATCTGAGACGGATGACCCATGGTCTTCCCAAGGCAAAAATCCCAGGACAGTTATCTGAGACGGATGACCCATAGTCTTCCCAAGGCAAAAATCCTAGGACAGTTATCTGAGACGGATGACCCATGGTCTTCCCAAGGCAAAAATCCCAGGACAGTTATCTGAGACGGATGACCCATAGTCTTCCCAAGGCAAAAATCCCAGACAGTTATCTGAGACGGATGACCCATAGTCTTCCCAAGGCAAAAATCCCAGGACGTTTATCTGCGACGGATGACCCTAGTCTTCCCAAAACAAAAATCCCAGGACAGTTATCTGAGACGGATGACCCATAGTCTTCCCAAGACAAAAATCCCAGGACAGTGATCTGAGACGGATGACCCATAGTCTTCCCAAGACAAAAATCCCAGGACAGTTATCTGAGACGGATGACCCATAGTCTTCCCAAGACAAAAATCCCAGGACAGTTATCTGAGACGGATGACCCATAGTCTTCCCAAAACAAAAATCCCAGGACAGTTAGCTGAGACGGATGACCCATAGTCTTCCCAAAACAAAAATCCCAGGACAGTTATCTGAGACGGATGACCCATAGTCTTCCCAAGACAAAAATCCCAGGACAGTTATCTGAGACGGATGACCCATCGTCTTCCCAAGACAAAAATCCCAGGACAGTTATCTGAGACGGATGACCCATAGTCTTCCCAAGGCAAAAATCCAGGACAGTTATCTGAGACGGATGACCCATAGTCTTCCCAAGGCAAAAATCCCAGGACAGTTATCTGAGACGGATGACCCATAGTCTTCCCAAGGCAAAAATCCCAGGACAGTTATCTGAGACGGATGACCCATATTCTTCCCAAGGCAAAAATCCCAGGACAGTTATCTGAGACGGATGACCCATAGTCTTCCCAAGGCAAAAATCCCAGGACAGTTATCTGAGACGGATGACCCATGGTCTTCCCAAGGCAAAAATCCCAGGACAGTTATCTGAGACGGATGACCCATAGTCTTCCCAATGCAAAAATCCCAGGACAGTTATCTGAGACGGATGACCCAT